CATCTGTCACTGAATGAAATTATTCTTTCCATTGCATGAACGTGAAACATTCATTATTTGTTTTATATAACGCCTGAAAAAAATCCTTGTCATCTGATTGGTTGACTTTTAATAGCCAATTTATTCGGGTTACAAACTGTTTAAAGTTCGACAAGTTCATCATATTAAATTCATGCAAACTGTTCAACAGGCTGAGAACAATCATATTCAATTTATCTCAATTTAAAACAGCGCCACCAGCAGCAGCAGTGACACCGTGCAATGGAAGTTCTATTCAGCGTGCAATAGAACTTCCATTGCACCGTGCGCTGCGCGCCACGCGCGTGCCGTGCCGTGCGTGCATTGGGACGAATAATTCAATGACATGTGATCAACGATCCACCAATCAGATGACAGGGATTTATTCAGGTGTTGTATAATCAATGATGTGTCCATCTCTGCTAGCTGTTTCCGCTGCTTCGTCCTTCCACTTCTGTATATTGTGCTCCAGTTTGGTCATCTGCTGCTGCATCTCATATCCGTCTCATTGACAGGGTACTCCATACTGCTCGATTTCTTTGTGACGGCAATGCTATGTGTGATCTGGGTCATCGACGCAATGTCAGTAATGTATGAAACAAGAAACGGTTCAATCCGCTTCACCCACTATACGATTATGTCACTGAGCTGTATGTGCTGGCAAGAAATAATCGGTTTCCGCTTTAATGCTCTGCAGCCGATGAGATGTCGCATCAGCCAGTTCCAGTTTTGTTTCTTGCGCAGTGCCGTACAGCTATGGAATTCCTTTAAGATGGTGATACATTTGCAGCAGAGAGTGTGCATACTTTTAAGTCAATGGCTAACAAGAATCTAAGGTCCATTTAATAATATCTGGTGGTGTTCGTTATTGCCCAGTTTTAGTCGATCACACATGTTCTTGTTTTCTCGTTCTTTATATTGATTGCTGTCTCTTGAGTTTTTGTTTTCTTCGCCGACGCTTCAGGAGTGTGGGGTTGCTGTAAAGCAACTTGTAGTGCTTGCACTTTTTCCACTCTACATGTACCTGATTTGTTTTGTTTAATAATAATAATAATAATAATAACAACGGCCGCTGGCCAACTCCAGCCGTATTGCTTACATCAGCGCTGCATTGACTTCATGCAGTCTATCGCATGCACTGTGTGTCTACCCGGGGCAACAAAGCATGTGTTACAGCAGACATTTTGCAGAAACAGGCAATGCTGTATCACTTAAGTTCGAGCAAAAAAACCCAAAACAGCGAGATCATTACATTAAAATGGAATATTACTTACACAGAGAAGAGAGATTACGTTCTGTGAATTTAACTCGCAGAAATATTCGTTCTCCACCGATGTTTGTTTGACATTTTTGCAATGTCAATTTCAAACTGTAAGGCTATGTACGGCCATTGGCTGGTTCCCATCCTCAACTTTAGACATTGTAGCACGCACAGCAGGAACCAGTCTAATATTTCTTTAAGCATGATGCATGTGCTTTCACCACTGCAAAGCTTGCATGCCGATCGCATCAGCGAAAAAAACCCGACGGTTTCTTTCCGAAAATAGCGATGGTAGGTATCTGTTAGTTTCTGTACAAATGCCTGGTGTGGCTATCCCATACAGCGCAAATGTAAGGAGTCGGGGCAAACGAGTTTTTAGTACATTTAAGTGGGTCAGCCAGTTCAATATTTAGTAGGTGATTCTTGAAGTTTTCTAACATTGGGGCACAACGGGCCACCCTGGGTAGCAAATTCCAAGCAAGAAGGGTCTTGAGGTACCGGTACAACGACTTCTGATTGCTGAGATGTGCTTGTAGATGCATTTCCCAGTACTCTGACGTGTTTTTGGCCTGAATTGAGATGATGAGTGATGTTGCTGGGCATGAAGCGGTGGGTTTCTTTGTAGATAAGGTGTAAGCGAGCCCTTGTACCGGTACTTCTGTTTTCAACGGTGTCCCACTCCAGTAGAATAAGCATTTCGGTAATGCTGGATTGGCGGCTGTAGTCATTGGAAACAAATCTTGCAGCACGTCTCTGGACTTTTTCAATGGTTTCTTTGTTGGATTGTTGGTAAGGATCCCAGATTGTGTAAAGTATTCCAAAAGTGGACGGACCAAGGCAGAATAGGCTGTAGTTTTAGTTGACCTGTCGCAGCAGGACAGGTTCCTCCTAAGTAAACCCAGGGTTCTGTTGGCTTTTGTAGAAATCTGATTAATGTGTTTGTTCCATGACATGTCAGATGAGAACTCCACACCAAGGTAGGGATGGCTTTTCACTTCTTCAAGGATATGATCGCCCATTGTTTACTGGTTGAGGACTGGTTTCTTTTTGTGCGTGATACTTATAGTGAAACATTTGGCTTTATTGAAACCCATTTGCTAGGCAGACTCCCAATCTTTGAGGCTGTAGCTGTCTGTTTGAAGGCACTCAGCATCGTGATTGCTGTTGACTTCTCAATAGAGTATGAAATCATCGGCAAATAGTCTCACACTTGATGATAGTGTAACGAGTCCTCGCGGTCTAAGGACTATTTTCTTTGGGACGATTAGGCTAAAATTAGCGTAACAAGACAAACAGCACGATACAATGAATAGAATAAATGTGACACGGACACAAGGATGAACTTCTCTTCTTGTCTCTTCTGATTCTCTTCAACTTTGTTCCCCTAAATCAATACATGTATTCACATAATTATAATCGTTTTATTTAACAATGGTTGTTTCTGTGGTGTTCCATGTCGTACATCTTTCTCCAACAAGTTTCAGATCAGAACTGCCTAAAAAGAGCGTGAACACAATTTCTGCTTTATTTCTGCCCATCGTACGACTATGATACGCGCGCGTGCACTGTCGTGCCTGGATCCCCAGGTACCGAGACAGCACGTGCCCTGAAAGTGGCTTCACCCCAAATCCCAGCTTGGTGAATATGCCACCATGCGGCTGTGCACCGCTACAATAGGTTGGCAGGTAAATCCTTTATATGGACAAGAAAAAGCATCGGCCCCAACACCGTCCCCTCAGCTAAGTAACACTTGAAGCCGCAGGAGACTTTTCTGATGACTCACCATCGACCACCATTTTCTGACGATGTTAGTGAGAAAATTGTCGATCCAAGGATGTTATTTCGAATTCCAACATGGTGGAGCTTTGCTAGGAGACGTCTATATGGGACGATGTCAAAAGCCTTGCTAAAGTCCATAATTATAAGATCTGCCTGACTTCTTCTGTCAAGGGTCTTCTGCAAGTCATCCACAAGTGCAGTTTCACATGATCATGTACATGTACATGTACATGTATATCAAACTTCTCAAAATGCTTCATTATGTTTCCATGGATGATGTGTTCCAACAACTTACAGATGATCGATGTGGACCAGTGGTCCACAGAAAATGATGGTTGATCAGCAATATTTAGTTGAACTGGGGTGAAGATCTTTATCATTGCAAAAATCCTGATCCCAAGCAGAGAAATCCAAGTTTCGCATGGAGAGTTAAAGAGTGCCATATCAAAGGTTGTTGAGTGTCCCTCCAGAACAAAATAAGAGAATCCAGGCGCGGATCCAGAGGTTTTTTGGGGGGGGTCAAAACCACCCCCCCAGCTCTGTCAAAAAAAAAGAAGTATCATACAAATTCCTAAAAAAAAATCCAAACCCCCCCTGCTGTGACACCCCCCCCCCAAAAAAAAATTATACTGGTATAATGTACGCCTGATCAAAATAAGGTACACCATTCTGTAATCTAATGTTAATAATCGTCAAATTTGAACAGTGCCCCCTATTGAAATATGGTACCAGCCCATCCCCCCCCACCCCAGTTTTTGATTTTACGGAGGCCAAATGTCCGAAAAAAAAAACCTGTGTACATTTTCAGATTGTTTGGCTGATGAAAACCCCCCCCCCCCCCCGTGAAAATTTCTGGATCCGCCCCTGGAATCCACGCACAATCGGGATGTCATGTTGACGTAGTTAAAAACCAGGCTAAAATCCAAGTTGGCAGTCACAAACATACATGTACCAGTACTACGATACATGTTTCAGTTCACATCCAAATCAAAATCAAAGTCAACTGAAGAATTGGCTAAGAAGAGTTAAAAAAAATGTTAAGAATGGAAAAGCTTAAAACGCGAAGAGTTTAACAATTATTACAATCTGGGATGGCCCCTTGACATTGACGTAAATAAAAATCCAGGTTAAAATCCAAGATGGCAGTCACATACAACAAAACACGTTACTGTTCACATCCAAATAGAAATCAAAGTCACGCCGAAAATGGTTTAAAACACGATGAGTTAGATAAACACCAAATGTCAATATCAACATAGGATGGCCAAAAATAAAGTGATAAAAAAAAAGATTAAAACTGCGAGTTCGCAGAGCTAAAAATTTCACGTCGACTCCTTGCAGTGTGCCCTCTACCGTAAGTAGAACTTACGGAATTAAGCAAATTCTCAGACCAAAAGATCTATTTCTGATGAATCTAAGATTTATCAGAAATAAAAGTCGGAGTCTTTGGTTGGGTAACCAAACTTTGGTCTTTCCCAAGTCTCCCTTTCTTGCCGGTGAGCGGGGAATTGTGAATGGAGCCCAAAGACCCAGTACAACTGTGTTCAGCAGCCACAATACTGAGATAAATGCAGACAATACAAAGCATTCTTTCATTCTCAGTATTCATTGCTCAAAAAGTAGAGGAGCATTGTCTACAAGACACTCTGTGTAACAGGCTGTTTCCAACAGCACAGCATATAAGCATGGTAAAATGTTGCATTCGTTTGCATTGACATTCTTTTTAACAACACTGCACTGCCATTGAGTCAATAGCTGAAACAATCTGTTCAGAATATCTATGCAGCTACTGACAAACTTCTCAAAACCTTATGACATTGTAATTATTATTCCAGTGCCTTTTCAGAATGCTTATGTAATTTACTTCTTGTACATACGTGTAACATACTTTATTCTAGAGTACTTTAAAGTAGATCATTTTCTGTGGTACATGTACTTTCAGAATGAAGAGTGTATCAGGGTGCACTTGAAACTTGAGACAGAGACCATCAATTCCAGCATACTAAGACATCAGCTTCAGTTTTTTCCTGATAGTATACACAGTGAAATCGCCTCTGCTATTGAGTCAGCAAGACAGTCCAATGCTGATGAACTTAACATGTTGCAGGTTAGTGTGTTTCCATGTTGTTTTTACATGATTTTATCATGCGTACAGTGGTAGTGTACAATGTAGATGTGTTTATTTGTTATTGTGGTGTATTTTATGTTGTATCTCAGGCATTGCACTTCATGTACATTTCACTGGTGGTAAAGTCTCCCCATGCAATAGTATACAAATTCAACATAAATAAGTCTTATTTTTTTGAGTGGTCGGGCACAGCCTGACCACTGTTTAGAATTGTTCCGATTAAATTGAGTGGTGAGGCACAACCCGACCTCTGTTTAGAATTGTTCTGATAAATGTTCTTTCTTTCTGTCTTTCTTGCTTTTTTTTTCTGGACAATAATTCTCCGTGGGTTTCTCTAAACGGTGCATGGTATGAACTTGTAACTCAACATACATGTATATCGACCCTCATCCCTAGTGGTGCATATTACTCTAACGTCATGATGACTTCCTCGTGTGTCAAATTACAAGCGATTTTCGTTGAAAAATGACCATCTTCTTTCAACTAACGTATGTCTCTTGAACAAAATAATCTATTATTTTCGAACCTTGTAATCAGATAGACCATTCATTGTTTAACCTTTTTTGTTGTATTCGTGAACTTGCTTGACCTTTACTTTCGGGTCTATTTAAAGGTCAAAGTTAGGTGAATTCAAAATGAAGACATTAGCCTGAAATCGAAACAAAGCAAAATTTCTTCCGAATGGTTTAAGGGATGATCATAAAACCTTGTGTGAACTTGTACCGTGTTCAGGCATTCAACTTTTTCTTGGATCCGCTGATTTCCTTGTTTTTTACTTCTCAGGGATGCCATTACATATTGAAAAACACTGTACAAAATCTTTTGTGGTTTGGAGTTTCCTCATTTTTTCTAAATTCCCAGTTGCATGCCTGCATGTTACGAAGATGTTGTAATTTTTGTTGCGTCATCATGAAGTCATCAGGTATCAAATTACAAGCGATTAAAGATTTCTAGATTTAATCTTCGAAAATCAATACAAAATCAATCTTGAGAGACCTGAACTTGGCTTTTGCTGGAATTGATAGAATAATCCAGGATCTTCATTTTATCTCGTGTGTGTCTAATCACGTGACCCTTCCTTTTGGTTGAAACCAGAAGTGCCTTGTAATATGAATAAGGCACTAACGATGTTAGTCTCTGGTAAGGTTGTTCTTTAGAAAAAATTGACCAGTGACGTCATTAATTGTTAAGTTTGAGCTACATGTATATCTCTTGAACTTAATAGAGTATCGTATTCGTGAGGTTGTAGACGGTGCCTTGAGCAACATTTCTTATTCCTGGGTACAAAACTGAAGTGCAAAAGAACTTGAATGTAATTCAAAAACGGATGCAAGTGGGAATGCCAAACCCCAAAATCATAATTTTGACGTCATCCCCGATAGGACGTCCCACTAGCGGCACATCAAAAAGAGTTTAACCTTTTCAAATGTTAACACCTTCAATCAAAATTTTACTAAATTGCCCCTATATATACTGTGAGCAACCACAAATGAATTTGCAAGGTTTCATAATCATGACGTCATCAGACCGTAAGTGACTGTAGAATTTAATAATAATCATTTTGTTTTCAATTTAAATCCATCATTTGATTCCTGTCTCATGACCTTGTTCCTAGCCCAAATAATGACATCTGTTACACTTAATGTTGAGATTTTGCTTCCAAATAATGTGACGTCATCCAACCGGAAGTTGGGTGTTATTATTACATATACTTACTTTTTCAATATTTCCATGCGTTATTTTTACTTAATGATAAACAGGTATCTTCCTTGAACTAAATCACTATTCCCTTCCCTTTTTCGACTGATGACATATTCAAACCGGAAATAATGTGTACGTGTACTTAAAATGTATACTAAAATTTATTATACCCTAAAAGATCCATAAATTTGTTTTTACAAAATAATTGGTAGTACTGGAAAGGATAAAGTTCGTGATCCTTTGGTCTAACATGGAAATATTCTTAAGGCCAAAAAAATTAATAGTTCTGCTTCCGGTTACCCGACTGACCCTATTTTTAGGCTGCGACCCTAAAATTTTATCGGCAATTCCAAAAAAAAATAAAAAATAATGATTGAATAAATAAAAATAAAAACCTGTTGTCTTTTCTGTCTTCACAAAATACCTCTCAACAACCCTTTTGCATCCAAAAAGCTTATATTTATTTGTTTTCTTACTTACAATCGCTATTTTTGCAAAAGAAACCTCCGTTATTTTTACAAATTCGCTTCATAATAACTACTTCGCAATTCGATGTTACGGTGACTATAATCACGTGCGTAAACCCAGCTCAATGCGGCGATGACTGGTTCCCGCCGTGCCAATTTAGAAGACATGATGAAAATGCAGTAACTAGTCTTTGCACGGCTATGCGATCGATAGCGCTAGCATGGCTATGCATTATGCAGGCGCCAGGCACATGCTCTGTCAACTGGTCGGATCCGACATAGTAAAAATGCCAAGAAAATACCGATGGAGAAAGAACATTTTTGCAAGTTAATTTACAGAATTGATCTAGGTTGTCTGTGTAAATATTTTCCGTGCTCAAGTGTTCATTTTGAGATACAGTATGAGATACAATGATACAATGCAGCGTGTTTCCCGAAATTTTCGACCTTAAAAACGAGGTCTGCTGGCCGCGGGCCACACATGCACAGTGCATCACACACTTCGAAGTTTGGGCCAGCTTCCCGTCTTGACTAGCGTTGTGCATATGATGCGAACGACCTGAATTTTCCATCATTTTTGAAGAATTATCAAACGTAAATATATTGACAATAATTAAGGTACGTTTTATTCACTTTTTGTGGCCATTTTGTGTATAGCTTTCGTAGTGCAATGGAAATAGTTCAGGCTAAAACTTCGCATATAATTGAATACCCCATTCAATCTATTTTTTTTCCCCAACCGACCAACCCTATTTTTGAAAGGAATGTAATTGGAAGCAGAATTATTTTTTTTCCTTCCTAAATAAACTAACTGGGATGTTATTGTTCTGATAAATCTTTATTTTTTTTCCCCGGACATTACTTCTCCGCGGCTTTTCTCCTAAACGGTTCATGATATGATATCGACCCTCATCTAAAGTGGTGCATATTACTCTGACGTCATTATGAAGGTTATTATGACGTCATTAGGTGTCAAATTACAAGCAATTTTAGCTGAAAAAGTGACCAATTGCTTTCACCTATACTCTTGAACAAAATCATCAATAGTGTTTGTATTCTGTCATCAGATAGACCATGAATTGATAAACATTTTTTGTCGTGTACGTGAACTCGCTTGACCTTTACTTCCGGGTCTACCGGAAGGTCAAAGTTAGGTGAATTCAAAATGAAGACTTTAGCCTGAAATCAAAACAAAGCAGAAATTCTTCTGAACAGTTTACAGTATGATCCAGAAACCTAGTGTGAACTTTTACCATGTTACAAAGATGTTATAAATGTTGTTATGTCATCATGACGTCATCAGGTATCAAATTCCAAGCGATTTCAGGGTAAATGCTTACAAAATAGTTTGCGCTATATCTTTCGAACTAAATTGAGTATCGTGTTCGTTTTTTGTGAGGTTGTAGACTCTGCAATGAGAAATATTTCTTGTCCCCGGTCATACAACCGCTTGACCTTCACTTCCGGTGTTACCGGAAGTGCAATGAAAACCGAATGTAATTCAAAGGCGGAAGCATTTTACTACACACATATCATTTTGATAGTGTTTAGTGATGAATGTCAGACAAAAAAAAAACCAGTGTGATGACGTCATCTTTCGAAAGGGTGCCCCCTAGCAGCACATAAACACTGTTTGCTTTCCATAATTTGAAAATCATCTGTTCAAATTTTACTAAATCCCCTTTCATGAACTAGTAAATATTTTTATATATTTAGTAAAATATATTTAGTAAATATTCTTTCATGAACTAGTAAATAAGTTGGCAAGGTTTCAAATTCATGACATCATCAGATCGTAAGTTACTTCTTTGCGAATTTGAAAACAACTAATTTTAAATTTAATTTATATCGATCCATGTCGTATATCTTTGTAGCCCAAATAGTGATATCCATTATAATGTTCACTTTTGCTTCCAAATACTTTAACATCATAAAACAGGAAGTTAGATGCTATGAATGCAAACACTTATTGAGTGGTCGGGCACAACCCGACCACTCTTTGGATCTGTTACGATTAATCTTTCTTTCTTTCTTTGAGTGGTCGGGCACAACCCGACCACTCTTTGGATCTGTTACGATTAATCTTTCTTTCTTTCTTTCTTTCTTTTTTTTTTTCCGGACAATACTTCTCCACGGGTGATGACATCATTATCAAAAAGGGTGCCCTATAGCAGCACGTCAAATAGAGTTTGCTTTTTAGTTTTTAAAACCATCTGTCCAAAATTTACCAAATTGCCCCTTGATATTCTTTGGTTAACCACAGATAACTTTGCATCAGACTGGAAGTTACTGTAGGGAGAATTTGAGATTTAATTTAATCATTTGACCCCCTGTCTTACGACTAGGCCTATCATCGTAGCCCAAATAATGATATCCTTTACAGTGTTGACCTAATGCTGTGACATCATCAAATCGGAAGTTAGGTGTTATTTATATTTTCCATATTTTCATGTTTTTTAAACTTCATAAGAACATGTACCCGGTATCATCTCCGAACTAAAGCAGTATTCACTTGCTCTTTTTGGACTGATGACGTCATCAAATCAGAAATAACTTGTACGTGTACATAAAATGTACACTGAAATTTATCACACCATAAAAGAGGTATTTTGTTGAAACAAAATAATTGGTTGTACTAGAAAGGTTAAATTTCATGATCCTTTGTTCTGACATAAAAATATTCATAACTTAACTGGGCAGTGTTTAATGAAATAGTTGTCTGCCCGACCACTCTGCATTTGTAACTAAACAAACACGAACCTCTAGTTCCCATTTGATCTTTTCCCAAGTTCACTCACAGTCCTTACCCTTCGGTTCTGCCTCCTCAATTATTTCTGACATGTCTTCTTTTCTGTATTTCCATACATGTGCTTTTCCCCCTCATCCTGTATGTTTTCTGCCTGTTTTTTCTTCTTCTCTGGGCTCCGTGCATTATTGGTAGACAGCACTTTGTAACAGATTGTAAGAGCTCCAGTGGAGAGACATGCGCACACCAGTTCACATACATGTAATGTGATGTACATGTATACATGCAAGCTTATTTTAGTATGAATGTACACAAAACAGCAGCATCTTTGAGTGAATGTCACTCACGAATCAGCAATGTCTTCAGAGTTCCTCCTGGAGGTCTATCTCTTGTAAATATCAAATTTCTCTAGTTGTTACTGTTGAAAAGGTACTTTTGCACAGAGTCCATTTATTTTTTTTCACTTTTACATTTTGTCTGAATTATTTTCTTTTTACAGAAAAAGTTGCAAACCCTCAATCAAGATATTGGCCTCCTTGATGAAAAGCAAAGAAAGCTTACCAAGCAGAATGCTATTTTGCAGTAAGTGCCTTTTTTAAAGAGTTAACTGATGCCACTTTGTGTAAAATATTTGGAACCACTGCTAAGTTCTAAAAGAGGCAACATTTATTTTAGGGGGCTAGAACAGTGAAAGAGGGTTTATCTACTAAAAAGAATTAGACCCTTTGATAAATAAACATAATGAATATCTGTAGTGCCCTCAGTAGTTGGGTTTACTCATATTCATAACTCCACATGGTTTGCTAAACTCTTGCTTTACTCCATTAATTATAATTGGCCTATTAGTGGTGCAGCATGGCCCAAATTACGCTAAAGGATTGTGTGAATTGTGATAAAAGCATGAAATTTCGCATGTTGATTCTTCATGCCATGAAGAACAATTTCAGATATCAGAGATGCCACTTTTCTGGTTTTAACCGGAATTCCGTTTTTTTGTTTTTTTTTATTCTCACAAATTCTGGTTTTTCCGGCCGTCACAAGAAACCGGAAAAAGAGAAGAAAAACTGTGGAAATGCATTGATTTTTACCTCGTTAGCGTTCTCTATTTAGTATATTTAGGCGCATGCACGGCACAATGTTGTTCGTTGAAGTAATCTTAAAAACAGTCTTTGTTGTTGCTGAGCCTGCATGCGATACAGGCGGCCAACGTACATGTACTTGCATGCAGTACATGTATACAACGGCGCCTCGCGCGTACTTCACCGCGTGCAGGCTTGTTGTGTGGTGGTTTCTGATTGCAGTGATATATGTGAATAAAAAAAAACGCCGGGTACCAAAGCCGGGTACCAGCATTGTGTAGTGCAAAGGTCATATACACCCACAGCAGTGTTAAGGAAATGTGTATGTTTCGTGTCGAATATTACGTTGGAAATTCGGGTAGGCAGAATGGAATATTAGGAATGTGGAAAAAGTCAAAGTGATTGAACAAACCAACAGCCTAAAGGCCATAGAAGCAAAATTAAAAAATAAATGGAACCAGGCTTGGCTACAAGATAAAGATGACAAAAGGGACTTTGTGTCTGACTCGGAGTGGCTTTTTCAGTCTCACACACAAAAAAGTTCTGGTTCTTTTCAAGCAGCCGTTCCGTTTATTTTTCAAGCAGACCCAGTTCCGGTTTTTCAAGCAGACCCTGTGGCATCTCTGAGATGTTAAGGCATTTTGTATTTGACCTCTGAGAGGTCAATGAACTTTAGATACTCTTTTCATAACTTTTGTTCTTCAAAACTTCACTTTCCCATGACCCAAGTCTATGTCATAGGTCTTCATACAATGAATATAATGATCATATTTGGGAACAATTCATTTCTGACCTTTGGTGACCTTTGAGAGGTCAATGACCTTTTTAAACCTGTTTATAGCTATTTGTAAGATTTATCATCTTTTTTTCACGATTCATGTCTAAATGGAAGGTGTTAATGCTATAAAGAGAATTTTAATATATAGGCCATTTCATACAACCTCTGGTGACCTTACAAGAGGTCATGACCTTTGTAAAACAATAGCCTACCCAGTCAGTTGCCGTGCCACGCGTAGTTGCTCTATTTTCTCGTCCACACAACTTACAGCAACGCGAGGCCAGCGAACGATGGCCATAAAAAGGGCTTCAGAAAATTTGCAATTTTCATGGCAAACCACAACCGATCCAAACAAACAAAGTTGTTTTAGGTAGTTAAAGACCTACTTCATATATCTATCAAGGCCTTTTTTTTCTCAAAAAAAGGATTTCGATGCATTTTGACGATATTATTTCACGAACAAATCGACTAAAAATTAGGTCATGAAATTTCCGGGTTTTTTCCGAGAACGACGAAAGTCTCCCAAATGTTGCGGTAATCAAACGAAAAAGTGAACCTTCATCTACAAAAAATCTTGTGAACGTGATGTCGTTAATATTTTAAGAATTCGATGTACACCTAATGTTTCCAACAACTTCCATTTTTCATAACGCGAAAAGATTGTCGCTATTGTAAAGCATAGAGCGAGGAACCCAAACACGGTGTGACCTTGTGACCCATATGCCCACTGAGTATCCCAGCGTCCTGTTTGCAGGGCGGGGGGTACGAGCGAAACGTCGGCGTACGTTTACACACGTACATTGTGATTGCAAGTCATGAAATCTCGCAAAAGTCTTCATTTTTCAACCGGCGATTTGGACCAAACATTAGAAGTCTCCTGCACGTGTTTCACATGAAAATGAAGCGTATACTTTCCTCTATCTACTAAGCCTTGCCATTTGTTTCGGCCTTTTTTAAGAATCGAATGTACATGTACACCTAAAAACTATCAGCCCTGTTGATAAAAAAAATGATTTTGTTTGAAAGGCCATAACAACACCTTATATTTGTCAAAAGCAGTTATTTTTGTTATCAAAACAAAGCACACGATTTGAACTTTTCACTTGTTTAGCCATCTTGGCCAAACAGTGCATGTATCGAGGCACTTTTTGTGTTTTTCTGTAGTCTCGAATAAATCTCGTAAATCTCGCGTACACTTTTGGGCCATGCGTGCTTGACCTCGGGACGAGAAACTGAGGTCAAACAGGGCTGTGTGCGTGACACGGCTACTGACTGTACCTATGAATATTAATAAGATTTTGCAAATGCCACTTTTTTCATGATCCAAGTCTTAAACTTAACTCTTTGTGACATTAAAAGAACTTTCAGATGTGAGGACACCATATTTGATGTAGGAATACCCTTGGAGAGGTCAATGAACTTTGTATATCTAAGTTGCCGTCATTTGTCGTATTTATTCGTCGAAATGCCATGTTTTCGTGACCCAAGCCTCAATAGAGCCAAAGAATGGTATTGCACCTATTACCGGTAGTTTACAGTCATATTATGAAATCAGACCCCTCAATCAATTTTAAGGTGATCTCTGACCTAGTTTCTCCTTGTTTTATTGGCAGACGCAATATGATGAGATTGGAATAGATATCTGTGGGCTGCATTTGTAATGGAAAATGTACATGTGTCAAGCATTTGTTCACTCTGGTGTACTTATTACACCATGTTGTATCCAGATGGACTAGGATAACCACGTTTAACCTTTTTACCAAGCCCAATGGTCACTGTTTGAGAGTGATGCTTGTTCGATGTGCCTCTTATATTCTGTTGCGCCTGCTTCTGCCCTTATAGTAGGCCAGCCAAATGTGGAAAAATACCCTGGAGAATAATTTCACGGCATTTTTTGGTAATAGCTGGCATCCATGCTAGATCCTTTCTTTGAACCATAACAAACAACATGTGGGTGGATGCCACCGTTAATTGTTACCCTAAATATACCTAATTTGCATAAATCTTTAATACCTGCCATGTAGTATATTTTTGCCCTTATTTGGGTATATCTTTTATTTTATGATTTTTTGAAAATTTTATTTTAGTGATTCTACTTCACATCTTTAATTCAATAACATTTTTCAACGCATATAAGCGACTGAATAATTATTAGGATATAGTAACAATCCAAAATGGCTCCTATTATACCCAAAAGTTGGGCGCATTTTACTTAGTCTCCAAATATCTTCAAGAAGTCTTGCCAAACATCAGTATTGATGAGCTTCAAATTCTCCAAGTTGCTTACTGGCACAGTTACCCTATTAAAACCTTATGGAAAATCATGTGAACAATGATAATATTGTGACATTTAGCCCAGCAAACAAAAACGGAAAACGAGGTGTCTGTTAGTGAAGGGTTGCCTAACGTGAGAGACTTGAAAAAGTTCAAGGACATTCTCTAAATGATTAGAAAGAAAATTAATGGGAAAAAAAACATTTTGACACTGACATAATTGTTAAAAACATGTTTTTTTGGTGTTTTTTTTTTTTTTTTTTGGGGGGGGTGTTTCTTGACCTTATTTAAGTATCCCATGTTAGGCGACCCTTCTCCTAATTTAAGCCCAGTTTACGAACAGCAAGCTCGTTTTCCCCCGTTTTTGTTTGCTGAGCTTAATACCACATTGTTATCGTGTTCACATGATTTCCCATAAGGGTTTTAATAGGAACACTGTGCCAGTAAGCAACTTGGTGAATTTGAAGCTCATCAGGACTGAGGTTTGGCAAAACTACTTGATGATATCTGGAGACAAAGTAAACGTGTGCAATTTTGGGTATAATAGTAGCCATTTTGGATCGTTACTATGTCCTCGTGATTATTATGTCACTTACATGCTTAAGAAAATGTTAAGTAAGAGGGTGTAACTAGAATCACCAAAATAAACTTTTCAAAAAAAAATAAAAAAATAAAGAATATACCCAAATATGGGAATAAATATATTACACTGCAGGGATTAACAATTTATGCAAATTAGGTATATTTAGGGTCAAAACTAAGGGTGGCATCCACCTACATTTTCTTCCCTATCCTTTGACTGATTGATCTGACATGGTTGCCTGCTATAACCACAAAATGCCGTCCAAAATGTAATATTCCACTTTGGCTGGTCCACTATTATAAAAAGGGAAAGTGAGATCAGAGGTCATGCAAACAAATTCTTTGGGGTCTGGCTTCATGACATGTTGTAAAATAATTATTAAAATACACTCCTATTGCTCTAATTAGACTTCGGTCATAGAATGAAAAAGTGGCATTAAAGGGAATATACAACATTTGCAAACATCGAAAAATAAAACTGCCAAGTTTTAAGAAGTAGGCCTACTTTACTAGGATGTTGGTAAATGACAGTATAAAGCATCCTGTAAAATTATGGCACTTGGTGTGAAGTCATTTTCAAGAAAATATTATTTTTGTATACATTTCCAACGGTGGTCGGCCGACCACCGTTGGAAAAACCTAACTATTTTTCAACTACTGATCCAAATTTACTAATTTTTAGTCCAAATTTTGTTTGCTATTGGTTACATGTTCATGAACGGGTGCAGGCAGGCTAGACTGGTTTCCTTACCTTACAATTTTCCGGCATCTATAAATATTGATCTATTTCATCTTTAGTGGAGTCTGGGAACCAGACTGCTTGAACATTTTTGTTTTTCTTGGTTTTTCCAGCATTTTCGAACACAAAACTTCAAACATGTTAGTGTAACAATATTTGATCTATTTTACTAACCCCTCAAATAGTTCGTTTTTTGAAAATTACAGCAAAAGCCAATGATGTACATTCCCTTTAAACATTGGTTTTTCAAAGTTAATTTACTTCTTGAAAGTCATCAGAGGCATATGAGATTCCCTACCTATGAAATTCTTTTCATAGCATGAGCCACTTAACATTATGACTTTGGTCTTGAAAAAGTTGGGGTTTTATGGATAAATCATATAAATAAGGCCAAACCAATAAAATGGTGTGTTTTACGGTAACCTGACCGACCTGGAATTTTTCGGCCAAATTGCTGACCTCAAACTTTTTATTGCCATTTTGAAGGTTGATATCAGGATTGGCAAATTTTTTTATTTAAAAAAAAACAAAAAAAACAAACAAATCGGATTTATTTGATTTAAATCAGATTTTTTTGATTTAAATCAGATTTTTTTTATTTAAATCAGTTTTTTGGATTTTTTTTACTTTCAAAATATTGATATGTCTAAACATGTGTCTAAATCATTGGTTCAATGGTACATTAATACTTGAAGACACTTAAAAGGTGTATTGCTTGATTGATACAGCTGAGATACGTTATGTGTGGAATCAAACTTGATTTATGGTATGTGTACATAGCATACAAAAAAAAACACGACAGTTCTCCATGGGCATGGTGATTTCATAAAAATGCTTCTAATTTCAAAACCGGCGGCACTGATTGTGTAACTTATAGTGTTTGATTGATGGTCAAAGGTGGAGAACAGAAATCAGGCCTTACACCTTTAAAAGGTTTTATATAAGTCTCAATCTAAATTTGAAAGGAGAAACGTTAGGAAAAATTGGGACTTTTAATCAGCACCCCAAAAAAAATTGGTGGTATAATTGTCCGACCTACTAAAGACATGTAATCGGAAGCAAAAGTGAATTTTTTTCTGCACCTTAATTTCTTAATTTGAAACTTACTTGTAAATGTAATCTATACTTTTGTAGTTCAGGAAGCAGTTAAACACAGGTTGTGAAATGTTGATTTTTTTAAAGTTAACAATTTAATTTTTTTTCCTTAATTACAAAAATATTAGGGACCTACATGATCTCCTCTGTATTTTAAGGACAAATCCTAAGTTAAAGACCCCCAGATTTGCTCTAAAATGCACCAGAGAGCTTCTAAAGTTCAAAAATTTTCAGGTTGTTAAATCACAGCAAATCTTCCCCCACAGGTTTGAAAAAATCTTGGGGAGCTGGAGAACCCAGACGATACGAATTAATTTGGAATGAAATATATCAATTAAATATTTTGAATGCTTGAATAATGTTTTTATACAATTTTTTTTGCGAAAGAACATGCATGGGCATGCAGAACTGAAATGAAAAAGAAAATTACAAAATAAAATTATTTCCCTACCTACCTACCTGGATTTTTTTCAGGCCGTTACCGTAAACACACCATTTTTTTTGTTTGGCCTAACTACCAGTATAAATAAGTGCAGTTAATACAAAGGTCATTGACCTCTGGAAGGTCATCAGAGGTCAATTGTGAAATGTTTCCGCATTTGGTCCTTATTTACATTGTATGAAGACTATACATAGACTTAAGGTCATAGGAAAGTGATGTTCTTAAGAACAATAGGTATAAATAGAGTACTCAAAGGTCATTGACACCTCAAAGGTCACCAGGGGTGAGATATGAAATGCCTCCATATCTGAATTTTTTTGTCATGGTATGGAGACCTCACATGCCAAAATTTCATGCTTTTATCACAAAATGCACTATTCTGTTCCTATGCCGCACCACTACGGTATATCACAACATGCCCTCTCCTCCTTTTTTTTTTACAGCTCTGGTAAATTGAAGCTGATTAACATGGAATTTGGTAACTTTTTCTAACTTGTATCATGGGTCAGTTTTGTTTACCGATGTCCATGCACGGTTCCCATGGCAACTGGTGTAAAAAAAGTACTACTGTTTTGTTCTCTTAAAATATATGGAACTATGCTTTTGTTGGGGGTCGAAAACATCTTTCTTGGTACAAAACTTATTTGATAACAGCTTTGGACAAATAAACATGGTCACATGATCAACTGCGATGCATTATGGGAATTCAATGTGGCCACAATTAATATGAAAAGCTGTTTATATTTTTTTGCACATCTACACAATTTTTATGCCATGCCAGTGAAGCCGAAAGGGCATACTGTTGTGCCATGTTCTTTCATGTGCAGTAGAAATAAAGAAGAACAAAAGTAGGAAAGTAAATAGGTGGACAATTGTGGTAAACATTGCTACCCGTATTTCAAGAAGTGTTTCCGAGTGTATGGTGTAAATCGAGGACACATATGTGAAGCATCATCCAGTAATTGAGGACAGGAGTCAAATCAAGGACGACCTCGATTAGAAAACGTGTACAAAACCAATGGGAGCTGTTGCAAAAAAAGTGTGAACAAAAGATCGATGATAAGGAACACCCATACTGAAATTTGTATCCTTGTGAAGTCATTTCTTTGTTCTCATGTACTAAAGTTTTCGAGTTTGAAAGTGTACTTTCAAAATGCTCCTATTTTAACCAGAATTAATTTCCTGAGCTGAAATTCAGACTTAATATCCCTTACATAAAATACTTCAATTTGTGACTGATCAACACACCTTGGAAATTCCTACTTTTGAGTAAAATCCATATTCATCTATTTCATGATAACCTTGTGGAGACGTATTCACCTATTTTCCCCTATTATGCACATGTCTCCACAGGTTACCGTGTACCAAATCAATAGAAAATCCTTGATTTACAATGTACACCATTAATAAACCTGCTGCGGTGGTGTGAGTTTGTTTGTGCATTCAATAGGGGACGTTGAACAATAGAGGACAATAGGGTTCACACATCATTCTTGTTACTTTTATATACATGTATGTGCAGTCCAGAGCGTGATATGGTGAGAACTCAGCACGAGGAAGTAATTTCTCAGCTCAACCAACGTATGGCAGATAAAGCCAGGTAATTAGTATAATGAAGGATTTAACTTGGAACTAGTTAGCCTTGGTTGTCATCTGATAATCATAACAATTGTGGCAAAGGTTCTTACATGGCATAAAGGGGTAAAGCATTTTGATACCATGTTTCCAACCAGGTTTCTGAAATAAAATAGGTTTCCCCTGTCAAATTCAGTAAATAAGCAGCAAATTTAACTTTCATACATTCATATTAAAGCAAATTTGCCTCTCCAGTTGCTAACACATTTCAAATTAAGAATTCAAGCATTAAATTTTGTTTTCAGCCAGACAAATTCTTTTAGGATTATATTCAATTTAGTATATGACATTCTTTTTAGTAATGCACATTTGTCATCCAATTTAGCAGAGTTGGTTTGACTGGACGTTTTGACTAAAATGTTATTTTCATTTTCATATAACGGGCAATCAATTTCTCACTCACTCACTCATCTGCATAGACAGCATAGGTCCGTCGCGCTGATCTCCTGGGCCCGCGTCGTACAGCCTCATTCCACATGCAGTCAATCTGGCTAGGCCGTCCGAGTTGTCCAAGATGATCTTGGACGGCCATGTCGTCTCTTCCGGCCAAGAGTTGGCCGTGACCTCTCCTGGAATTGATGGCGATGCCCAGAATGTTTTTGGCTGGGATATTGTCAGCCAGGCGAGCGACGTGACCGAAGAAGGCGGAGCGGCAGTGTTGGATTTGGTGGATGATGGTTGGCAATCTTGTTCTGTGGGATACCTTGTTGTTGTTGTTGACACCTTAGGTGGAATGACTCAAGTCGTCTGAGATCAGAATTCAGGAAGGTCCCGGTTTCTGAGCCATATAGCAGGACAGGAATGATGCATATCTTGTATATACCCAGTTTGGTGGTAAGTTTCAGCCTCTTTAGCCTCCAGATTCTTCGTAAGCAGTTCATAGCAGATAAGGCGAGGCTGAGTCATCTGACAGTGTTCTCCAACATGTAGAACAAACCTGGCGCCCCGACATGCTTTCTGCGGCGCCCGCCATGTTTAAGAAGTCCCCGCCAAGCTTTAAAATCCTGCCGCCAGGTTTAATTTTTTTGACTCTACAGTGTACATTTACAACTAAAATAATTGATTTAAGTTGTTTTTCCACACATTAACAATGTATTTCGATGTCATCCCAGCCCGATCGGGGTTGTCTTAAAATCTCGCTGAATAGCACGGCCGGCCGTGCAAACACCAGCGATTCCCCATGCACCGTACGTACTATACTATTACGCGCGATGTACACACGTCCACACTGACAACTGAATCCCCAATTCCGGAGTGTGCCGATACTTCAAGTAGCGACAACCCCGCCGCAAAAATATATATTTGTATTAGTACACACACACACCAGCAGGAGTACGTACGGCAGATCTTACGTGCAGCCAACCAACTTTCTTTTTCTCAGTGCTTGCACGCGCGGTACACAATATAATACGCATTGATGTTCTTGTACGAGGCAAATGAGCTCGAGGCCAAAACACGCGTGCACATGGTGTTCCGATCATGCCGATTGTCAAAAGTTATAAATGGCGATCGTGTATGGGCCCGGTTCCCTAAGAGAACAAAATCCACTTTTAATTTATTTGACTTACCAAACTAGTTGGCGACATTTAAGAACATACAGGTAGGTCATAAATAGAGGGAAATTTGGGGGAAAATGACGATGACAACGACAAAACGCAACATGAAAATAAAGATGACGATCGCACGGCACCGGCACCACCCATAAAATCGCGTAAAAAAAAACGTAATTTGTATCCCATTTTGTTTTTCAAAATTACAAAAAGGTGTCATTTGATCTGAGAGAAGTCTGCTTTAGGTTGAAAAGGAAATTTTTGAATGCTAAAAAAATCGGGGGAACTGGCCTGGAGAATCGCCTCAGATTGCACCACAGAGCATCTAGAATCCAAAATTTTCCCGGGGCCCTTAAGCGGGCCCCGGACCCCACGCCGTAAGGGCTTCGTGCTCCGCGCTCGCAGGAGTCCCCACCGACCCCAGCGCCAACCTTTAATTTTCAAAGTTGGAGAACACTGATCTGAGGATGTCGAGTTCACTGCATCCAGTGTTGGAGATCTTACTTCCGAGATACAAAATCCTCCACAATGTCGACAGACTGGTCATTCACCTTAACCTGAGAGGGAGTACTGATGCTGCTTGGTGTCAGAACTTGGATTTTCGTTTTCTGCCATGAGATCGAGGTTGGCAGCCTCGCTCTGAAAAGACTGGAGCACATTGCTCAGATTTTTGAACTCATTACAGACTTGAGCGACATCATCCGATCAGCATAGTCCAGGTCTGAGAACTTGAACTGGCTGATGACAATCCCCACATCCACGGTTTCCCTCTCGAGGATCCAGTCAATGGCGCGACAGAAAATGGAAGTTGCCAGGATGCAGCCCTGTCTTGCACCAGATCTCGTGAGGAAGCTTTCGGAGGTGTTCCTTTCTTGGCGCACCTTGGCAGTGATATTGGTATGGAGATCCTTGATGAGGGTGAGGAGATGGTGGGGAACTCTGATGCCTCGTTGAGCTTTCCAGAGTGCTGTTCTATCAACCGAGTCAAAGGCTGCCTTCAGATCAACGTAGGCCACGGATAAGGGTTGGTTGAAACTGTGATGCAGCTACCAAGTTGTTTTAACCATCTAGCCATCTGACCTTCACAATCTTTGCTTTTCTGCATCCAACTCACTGTAGCGTTATCTGTACACACTTCAACTCGCTTCCCGTAAAGATAATGTCTGTACTGTTTCAAGGCGGTAACTAAGGCACACATTTCTTTATGGGTCTCGCAATATCTCTTTTCTGCCTTTGTTAACGATTTGCTCATGAAAGCGATCACACGTTCCTAATTACCTTGTATCTGGGATAAGACAGCTCCCATCACCTTGTCACCTTACCGCAAACTTTGCCACACACATCAACTCAAAATATGCATGTTTAAATCCATGTTTGACTTTTCAACATGCCGCCAGAGGGCGCTCTAACATTTGATGACGTCACCTGTAAAATTGTTTTACAGTACTGCCTAGGCAGACACTCGAATCGTTGAAAGCAAGTTCGCATCTTCTGCCAATTTCAATTAATAAGGCACTTCGGGTTTTGACCGGAAGGAAGGGTCACATGCTTTTGCACTTATACCCAAACTGAAGACCCTGCAATGTTGTATCGATTGCCATGAAGAACAAAATCAAATCTGTAGCAGTTGATTTTAAATTGCTTTTCAGAGATTAAATCTAGAAATCTTTGATTGCTTGTAATATGATACTTGATGACGTCATTTTGACGTCATTACCAGAAACCTCAAGAGCTATATTTACTGTGCTGTATACAGCCAAATCTTGATTATATCTATCACGGTATATTTTCTAGCAATTTTTTAAGGTTTTAAGGTCTTTTTATTGTAACTTCCGGTCTGATGACATGATCTTTTTTTTTTCGCGCACAGGTGTTGTCTGCATTATGGTCATCATGAACATTAATTTTGAAGCGTTTACCGCAAACTTCGCCACAGACATCAAGTGAAAATGCATTTTTGAAATTTTTTAACCTGCCGCTAGAAGGCGCTCCAACACTTCATGGCATCACCCATTATTTTTTTTGGAAGGTCAATCCAGGCAGACACTTAAATCGTTAAAAGGAAGTTCATATCTTTTCCCACTTTCAAATTATTACGCACTTCCGGTTTCGACCGGAAGGAATGGTCACGTGATTTTACGCGCACAGGATAAAATGAAGATCATGTATTACCATGTCGATTCCCGCAAATTTCAGGTTCAGGTCTCTCACGGTTGATTTTATATGGAATTTCAAAGATTAAATTTATTAAACTTTCGAGTGACGTCACGTGACCCATGATGACGTCATGATGACGTAATTGAAAAAAAGACCATCTGCGGTGGATTGGGCATTCATGTATTGACAAATGAAGTTCATATATATGTTTCCATTTCTCCAAACAGTTCCGGAAACGAGTTCCTGAGAATATGCTGAGAAGAATACAAACAGTAAAATCTTACAAAAACAATAGATATTGGGCTCAAGGCCCAACACCTAAATAACTAGAGGTTGTAGGAACAACCACACGGTGTTGGGCCATTGTAGATGTTGACGTTGATTGTTGATTGTTGATGTTAATGTTGATTGTTGATTGTTGATTGTTGATGTTGATGTTGATGTTGAGGGTTGAGGGTTGAGTGTTGAAAAATAGCACGTGTAGTAATTATACAGAGGATAGTTAGAAAGAGTCAGGTGAGAATCTGCACGCGCGTATGCTGCTGTACTGTAAACTTATCAAGTACAATCGTTACAAAACCCATTAAATAGCTCATATCTCTAAAAGTAAAGGTCGCACACCATTAGCGCAATACAAAATATTGCTCGCCATACCCTCTTTACCCCCAATGCGCATGTTTTAAAAAAAAAAGCACCCAATTTAAAAAAAGCGCCCAATTGGGTGCTTTTGCCAGCCCAATTTTTGATTATCATATGACGTCATCAGAAGTGAAAAATGTGCTTGCGTTAAGAAGTTGTCATGTAAACGTGTACAAAACACTGGTAAACAAATAAATTGGTCCATGTAGCTCACTAGTTAACATACAACAGTCATAAAACCAGACACTCAAGAAGCAAGCACGGGGAATTCCCTTTTGTACGCAATCATAGCACACTGTTTTCGGGATTGTTTTTTTTTTTTTTTAGCCAAGCACATTTAGCTTAAAACAAAGTCATTTTCCCTTAAAACTTAACTCTATTAGGTAAATTAAATCGTCTTGAAACTTAGAGGTAGGTATATAGTTGGGTGGTGTCATGATGACGTCATCATGGGTCATGAGACGTCATCTTAAAGGTGCATACTTTAAAGTCATATCTACACATTTCTGGATGAAATCAAACATAAATGCATACAAAAATAAACTCATAAAATTCATAAAGCCCTAGTCATAAATTCAAAAGCCCTACGTTCTGTTCATGGAGTAGACATAGATCTATTTTGTCTTTTTGGCTTTTTTCGCAAATTTGTGAAAAATTAAGCCTTTCTTTTTGTGTTGATTTTTTTTCCTTCTTTCTTCTTTTTGTTCCCTTGCATGTCCCACAGACTTTGTACACGTTTTTTTCCATCTGTCACTTTTGGCATTTATCTTTGTCACATTTAAAAGTAGGATATAAACATCCACACAACTATCCTTTCAAAACTGGGCGTTTTTGTGTTATTCCTGTATTATGCATGCGAGAAGGAGCTTCGGGGTCCACTTTTGCAACCCCATAAATGCGAGCCGTTTGGATGCTAGTTGTGATTTCATTCGTATCGTGTTCACCTTTTGCCTTCCAGACCTCAAATAGGTTGCGACCTATCATCTAGCTGTGGACCTGTTGATGTTTAGATTATCTGCAAGCTCAAGGTAGTCCAGGTCATTCCAATGGAAGGCCTCAACCAACCATTCTCTATCTACATGGGACGCTCTTGCATAACGACTATGAGCTTCCATTTCTGTACATAAATCTGTACATGCATTTATATAAAGTTGCAGTGAGCAATCTTCTTCGAAGTACATTTGGAAAGTGACTATTTATTTATATAGGCAAATACAAACAAACATACAGTGGTACATTAAAATCGACGTACCGTATTACATATAAAAACAAAGCCAAAGATAACCCAAAAAGCTGTTTGAAGACGGCTTATTTCCATCGGGGTCCTTAAAAACACACACAAAAACATACAAGTACATTATAAAAAGTTCAATAAAACTACAAAGGAAAAAGCAAAGAATAATCATCAAAGAATGATCATTAAAAACTCAGCCGCTTACAAAAATGACTGAGAAGAGAGATGATTCTTCACTGCCCTTTTAAATTGAGGATGATTGTTGGAACATTTGATGTTGGGAAGTAAATTCCATTCATGAATTCCGGGTGTAAAAAAATACAGTACACTATTGCCCTTTTATTCTAGGAACAACAAAATTGGTGGAACTGCCCCTGGTAGAATAATTATACATGTCTGAAACTTTCCTAAATTTATGACAGAGGTAGTCTGGAGCCAATTCATGAAAAATTGTATAAACATGATTTAGCTTGAGTTGTGTGACTCGCTCATTGACACTTATCATGCCCAGCTTGTTCAATACTGTTTGACCAATATGTGATCTGGAATCCATGTTTAAAATAAACCAGACTAATCTATTTTGGGTAACTTGGAGCCTTTTCTTTAGTTTTACTGACAATGCAGAGTACCAGGATGAACAACAATAGTCAAAATGACATTGTACATGTATTAGAGCAGAACAGAGTGTTTTGCGGTATCTCTCATTCAAACAGTTAGCATGTCTGAGAAAAACATTGCAATCTAGCACCGGCTTTTTTGATCACAGAATTTGCAATATTCTCACCAGATATTTAACTGAATTTGAAGGAGTAACAATCTTTCCATTACAGCACACATCAAATTTATCAACACTACTGAGTTTCTTTTTGGATCCAAAGAGGATAGACTCAGTTTTGCCGAGATGCAAAGACAGTTTGTTATCGATCAGCAACTGCCTGCATGCTTCCAGCTCCCTACTCAAACTGTCAGCTATTACTTCCGAGTCTTTACCAGAAATGAATAGGGCGCTGTCATCAGCATACAGCAGCAAATCGGATTGTACACTAATTTTCATATCATTTAGATAACAGAGAAAAAGAAGTGGCCCTAATACACTACCCTGCGGGACATCACATGTTATTCCCATTGGTTGAGATTCAACCTGGTTGACCCTGACAACTTGCTGTCTATTTGAAAGATATGATTGAAACCAATGAATAGAATCCGAATGAATACCCATAGCTAGTAATTTTGGACATAAGATCACGTGGTCAACAGTGTCAAAGGCCTTCTGTACATTGTAAATCCAATAACACCATACCTGTATAATTACCTTTGGCCATCTGAGATCAAATATAATCAGTTAGGTGAATCAAGCAAGTGTCAGTTGAATAGGAACTTCTGAATCCGGAGTGTAAATTATAATTAAGGTTGTTGTCAGTGAAATATTTGTCCAATTGATTGTACACAGCTCTTTTCCAAAAGTTCAGATGTAGAAATTAGTGAACGTTTTTATCCTATTATATTTGTATAGGAAACTAAAGCAAAGTTTAACAAAGCATCAATTAAGTTGCACAATTCCACAAATGACTGGCCAATAATCATTATGAATGACCAAATACATGCCGCGAATAATTCCTGTAAATTTGAATGCTGTTCCTGTGGATTGTTACATTGCCTACTCATGAAACGTAAATAAATGATGATTTTTAACAGCATTCAATTTCGCGCGAAACCAAATGACGTAGTGATTATATTGGCTGCTTCAATATTTGCTGAAATTGACCGGGAAACGTATATTATTAAAGAAGTTCAGTATGATAGATTTTTCTTAGGTTGCTGAAAATGTGAACATGTTTACTGAAAATATTTACATTGAGAACATTGGCATACCATTAGCCTGTGTTGTCAAATCAACAGATCTCTTTTAATGAACAGTTAAAGGTACAGTCCATCATTTGCAGCTGTCCAAAAAGTAACTGACAAAATTATTGTTGAAAAACATACTCGGTTTAAAGATAGTAATGGGACTAAACTCCCTGTGAAATTAATCATTATGGCAAGCTGTCATTTTGAAATAAACAATGAAAGAAGGCCATTTCCAATCCAGCTGCAATCGGCTGAATGAGAGCACTGAATTTGGGCGCAATCCAAAACATGACTCGGCAACTTTTGATTTGAAATTTAGATCCTAGAATATTGTTTTCTTGGAATGTACAGCATACACTGAGCTAAAACTTTGTCAGGTTAGTTTTTAAAAAAGCACCATTCTTTAGACTTTGAACACTTTTGTTGCTTCAAACGAACATAATGCACAAATTACAAATGATGGACTGTATGTCTAAACAATCCAAGCAGAGGATAATTAAAAAATAATAATGTAGTTTTGTGGAGCCCCCCACTTATGTTTTGACTGTCATTTGAAGCCAAATAAAGAAATGTGTATGCACATATGTGAAGTGTATTTGACTTTTTCTCTACCAAAAAAAATCAAAATAAACAAAAAGATGTAGTCATGAATTGATTTTTCTTCCTTATTGTTTAGTAAACAGATAACACTTAATGAAACCAGGGATGAACTGAGAGACACCAACCAAAAAGTAAGTAAAGAAGTTGTCCTTGGTAGGAATTCATTTGGTTCCATTTTCTAGCAGATACCTTTTCTGTAATTGATTTGTGTGCTGAAGATCCAGCTGAAGCTGTGTTTATGCCTATCGTCATGCAACTTTGGCATTTGTTCATTTCCCTGTCGCCTACAAGTCTGTCAACATAAGCAAATGTTCATTGGACATACATTTTGTGTGATTTTTACTGAGATAATGGTCAATCCAAAAGGGTAAAATCTTACCAGTGTCTGCACTTCAACTTTTTACTCAGATGTTTGTTTTACTGAGACTGTGGTTAAAGTAGCCAAGCTGGCCATAAATATATCCATGCAATCAGTCGTCCAGTTTCCTCGTTTGCTGTAATGTTTGACATGGAATGTTGTGCACCACTGTCAGTGTATAAATATCAAGTATATTAAACTCTCTGATGATGTCCATATAATACATGTGTCTAGGATGCCTTTTCATTTTACCGAATCACTCTGTCTGCATCAGGTTTTTCATCTGTTTAAAAATTGATGTGGTCACTTTTACAAGGGAAAAATGTGGCTGGCAAAATAACCACTGGAATCGGAATAAGTAACGCAAATCCTTCCTGATTTTTACACCGTACTTAAAATGGCAAAAGTAACCATGCGAGCACAGGTATATATAGAAGATTCAACCCGAGTACTTTCCACTTTTATGGCTATGTAATCAGAGAGTGTAATGCTTAAAATTGGATGCCACAATATAGACAACATGACATCCTTGCATGTTAAATGGTGCTGACCAATTTAATTAACATTATTTTACAACACAATTTTTTACCTGGAAATTGGTTTGAAAAAATAGAAAAAAGAATTGAAATATGACTGAAGCAATCAATGTGAGTGCTTGACATTAAAGGAAAGATCACAGGAGGTAATTGATATTCCATATGGATTGTTAAATGTGTCTACATCACTCTACTTACCTGTAGAGCGAATACTACATATGCATTGTTCCCTATGCCGGCAGGCAATTTGCTAAGAGTTTTACACATTAACGCCCTCACGTGTCCTACCCACGACGCCCTGTGACATGCGCACTACGTTAGCGTCCTCTTTTTCTCTTAGCCGCAGGCGAGGTATATCGTGAAATTTTGATCGACCCGAATTTCACTGTTTTATTTATGCCTCTTTGCTGGGAGAAAGCTATTTATCAGATATAAAGAGAAAGTGTTTATTGTAGAGTTATCATAGTGAGTTATTCTAAGTGAAGTGAGTTGGAAAAATGAGTAAATCTAGGAAGTTGTGGAGGACTGGGTGTGTCGATAATGGAGGGACGTACATCCCACCAGACAAGCCCGAGTTCTCAGGGGACTGCACCGGTGATGGTACGTCACCGCGGCAGCAGTCCCCTAGTCGGCCCCTTCAGCCACTGCCGGCTGTCAGAGCTGACGGACCCGTTGACCAAGCGGGGGGCCGTATAACCCCACCGTCTTTGGTCAATATTCACGGGTCCGCCCAACTGAAGGGGAAACGCACCGGCAAGACAAAGAAATTGTCTGACGCCGGGGCAGTACCCAAAAAGGGACGTACGGCAAAAGGTTGCCCCGCTACGGGGCGCACCGTGCCTGTCCCTGGCCCGTCTACGGGGCACACGCAGCCGGAGGAAGTACTCCTCCATGGCTCAGTGCACCCAGGCCCACCCAGCCCCGTGATTACCACTATGCCTGGGGATGGGCTGTTATATGGCCGGCTAATCGACTGTACAGCACCCGCCTATGTTACCGGCGTGGGGGCGCTGTCGTCCGCCCGGGCTATTGATCGCTTGGAGCCGAATCCCTGGATTCTTCAGAACAAATCAAAAAAGAGCCGCCGTTCCCGCCGTTCTTTGACGAGTTCTAGCGAGTAATCCGGCCGATCACACCGTGGGAAACGCCACAAGGGTGGCGACCCGATTTCACGCGATGATTTTTTGGAGGCTTTTCACTCCCTCGCGGCCTCATTGTCGGGCCGACAGGGGGATTACGGTCACAGTTGGCCGACTCCGGGCCAAAGGGACATACCATACACGGTTAGTCGTGCGCCGGAGTCCCCTCCAGAATTACAGCCCCCACACGCCAGTCATCACGGCCGTGGTGGGGTGACTACAGACCAGCGGACAATGCCGTGCACGGAGGGCCGTGCACAGGCGTCCCCGCCCGGTATTTGTTTACACCCATCGGTGTCACTAGAGTCCGAGCGGGGCTCGATACCGGGACACCATGACGGCGCTGCTTCGCCCCGGGGCCTGGTTCCCATTCCCCGGTGACAACTCGCCCCCCGGACTCTGACAATTCGGCGGACAAGAGCGAACTGACCCGCACCATGCAACGCCTATCGGTGGCTGAAACCGAACTCCGCTTGGTCCAACAGGATATGATCAGAGTTCTGAATCTTCCTGCTGGGACCCAACCTCCTCCTCCTCCTGAGCGTCAGTCATTCAAGAAGAGATCGGGACCGCCGACAGAACCGGTCCGGGCGTTTCCCACAATGCCCCTGGACCGCGCGTGCGTTGACCACATCGACGGGATAATGCATGCAAAGACATGGAGTGCCTACGCTAAGGCCTAAAAAAAAAAAGTGTTATGTTGGCGTAACCCGACCGACCCTAAAAATGCGGCCGACCCTGGATATTTTTTTTTTTTTGAAGGGAAGAAATATAATTAAAATCTATAGAAATGAATTTTAGATACGTTTTGAAACCATTTCTGACCGTTCCTCCTCAATTGTATGGAACTTTGGAGTGCACAATGTTTTGCACCTTCCTCTCCATGACACAACGAACATGCAGAAGATCGCGCAGGCCTACAGGCAGTGCGCGTGCGGAGATCGATGCACCATGCATGCACGATAGATGCACATGTACATGTACATGTACAGTACACGTGTAGCCTCGTCCTAGACTGTTGCACGGCGCGAACTGCTACATACACTATTGAAAATACTTCGCTATTTATTCCATGTTAAAAAAAATATTTCATTATAATATAAATTATTTTAATTAATTTTCCACTATTTTACACGATAACAGTTGATATATATTTATTCTAAAATAAAAACTATTCTGTAACCCCGGCGGCCGACGCGACCCGGGCCCGGCCCTAGCTCGGCCGCGCCCGTGGTTAATTACGCGCGTACGCCGTCGCATCATGGCACCCGGTACCGAAGCGTACAGTGTTTCCATCAAGGGCAAATGGGGATCTTCGGTCATTTTCGACCGTTTAATGCGGACAAAATTTGAGTCTAGAGCTGGGGGTAATCGCCCAGAGCTGTGCCGATGGTGTAAAAGCGGGTTACACCGTGCTAAAAATACAAACTTCAAAGGAAGAATCGGGTCCATATTAAGATGTCGATGCAGATGAAACGGCTAACATTTTGTCTGATTTTGGATTCCGCTTTTTGATATGTACCTTTGGAAAGGTTGATGATGAGCCTTGTTTTCTTTTGTTATCGTTTACTACTACCGGCTTAATGTCATTTTCGTTGCTGGGATTAAAAAAAAACAAAAAAAAAACGACCTACCTACCCTATTTTTTCTGGCCCGTTACGCCAACATAACTTTTTTTTTTTTAGGCCTAAGCGCGTAGACTCGTATAATCATTTTCCCCCAGGGGATTTTGAGAAATATTTCTCAACTCCAGTCCTGCCGGACTCGGCCATCGACAAACTCGCCGCTGACCGAGGGACGGCTTCATCCAAAGTTCCTTTTACGGACAAGACCCGTGGAAAACTGGAGGATGTCACCCATAGAATGGACTCGGCAGCACGCATGGGTATGCGTGCGACGTCCTTTCTTCTTCTCCTATCAGAGTACCTGGCACTGGGATATGAAGAAGTTTCGGTGATACCAGCCGACATGATGGTGGCTGCTCTCCATTGCCTCGATCGCGGCCTGTGCTCCACTCTCGACCTTAACAACATCGTCACGCCGCACCAATGTGCTAGATGCGCTTTTCCTCCCGTCACCGGGAGCACGTAAGCGTCTCGACGAACTTCCGCTTTCAGGCCCGGACTTATTTTCTGGTAAGTTCCAGGAGGCCATGGAGGCCGAAGCAAAGCGCCTCAAGGCCACTGAGAAAATTAATCTCAAGAAACCGGCCGAGCTAAAAACCGCGGATAAGACAAGGAAACAACCTTCTTTTGTCATTCCCCGGCGCTGCCCCCCGGTCAGGGCGGCCCGTGGTGGATTTTGTGGGCACGTCCAATAAGACGGTTGGCCCGCGTTATTCACAACCACATGGCGGACAACGGCGTCCCCAGTCGGGACGCGGTTTCCGTGCGCCCACTCCCCGGTACACCGGGGCATGGCGCAAGTGACTTATGCATCTCCGAGCGGCCTCTCGCCGCTGGACCCGTGGGAGGCCACCTTCAGGAGTTCGTGGGGTCCTGGGTGCAGGTGACTTCCGACCGGTGGGTCCTCGAAACGATCAGCAGCGGTTACGCGCTCGAGTTACGAGGACCCACCCCGTTGGACATGCTTATTCGGACAACACCCGTACCGCCCGACACAGCAAAACGCCGCTCCCTCGAGGAGGAGATCGACGCCCTCCTTCTAAAGAGAGCAGTACGTGTTGTCCCCCAAGGGGGGACCCGGGCAGGTTTCATGTCAACCTTCTTCTTGGCCCCCAAGAAGGAGACCGGCGTGTGGCGTCCAATATTGAACTTAAAACCCCTCAACAAGTTCATACGTCCGAAACGTTTCCGCATGGAAACGTTACGGACCATTCTCGAATCGATCATCACGCCTGCGTGGGCGGCCAGTATAGACTTGAAAGACGCGTACTTTCACGTACCGATCAGGCCGGAGCACCGCAAATTCCTACGTTTCCAATACAAAGAATACTGTACGAATTTGTGGTACTCCCGTTCGGGCTGTCCACTTCTCCATGGGTGTTCACCCGGATCGTGAAGATGATCGGGGCGGCACTGCGGCGACGAGGGATCATGATATTCATGTACCTCGACGATTGGCTTGTAGTGGGTCGTTCTCGGGGGGAGACGGAAGCGGCGCTCCAACTAACGTGGCACCTTGCTTCCGACCTTGGATTTCTCATCAACACCAAGAAATCCCATCCAGTCCCCTCGCAGGTTCCCACCTTTCTGGGTGCATCCCTCGATCTTCGCAGGGGACTGGCCCGTCCATCGGAGGACCGCCTGCTGAACCTTCGGCAGTGCGTGTCCCTCTTCCTCCCGATGGTAGTGGCTCCGGCCCGAGCCTGGCTCAGGCTGTTGGGCCTTATGGCCAGTTTGGTGGACTTGGTGGATTTTTGCAGGTTGAGGATGAGGCCAATTCAACTTCACCTACTTTCTTTCTACAGACCCCGCTGGCACCCGATCGACCATCCGGTGCCCACTACGTCTTGGCTAGTCCCCCACCTTCGTTGGTGGCAAGTCGAGGCCAATATAACGCAGGGCCGCGTTTTCCGCCCGCCCCGCCCGTTGGTACTGATCACGACCGACGCGTCAGGGTACGGATGGGGGGCTACCCTCCACCCGCGACAGGTGGCGGGCGTATGGGGCCCCGAACATCAATCATCCCACATCAACGTCCTGGAAATGCTGGCAGTCACCAACGCCCTGAAACATTTCCAGTCGGACGTCAGAGGGCAAGCAGTCCTGGTACGATGCGACAACGCCACAGTGGTGGCATACATCAATCACCAGGGGGGCACTCAGTCAGGCCATCTGTGCACACTAACGTGGGATCTCACCCTCTGGTGCATACATCACGGGATAGCACTGTCGTCAGTCCACATCCCGGGCGAAGAGAACGTCACAGCCGACGCTCTCTCCCGAGGATGGATCGCCCCGACAGAGTGGTCACTGCTCCCACAGGTGGCTCAGTCGATCTTCCGACTAATTGACCGGCCGCATGTGGACCTATTCGCATCGCGAATGAACAATCAGCTACCGATCTACTGCATGAGGGGCCCAGACCCCAACGCGTGGCAGACCGATGCGCTGTCGGTGCGGTGGGACGGCCTACTGGCCTACGCCTTCCCACCCATCTCACTCGTTTCTCGAGTGCTGACCAAGATCGAGCAGGAGGATTGCGGAATCCTCCTCATAGCCCCGTTCTGGCCCCACCAGCTGTGGTTTCCCCGGCTCGTCCGACTCTTGGTTCACCGCCCGGTAATTCTACCGAGGAGGGCTGATCTCCTTTATCAGCCCAGCTCGGGAATCAGTCACCAGGCTCCGGGGGATCTTCACCTGACGTGCTGGGTATTGTCACGCGATCCCTCTGCTCAGCAGGCCTTTCGCGACGAGCTGCAACAATTGCAGCCCAGTCCCGCAGAGCCTCAACCAGAAAGGTGTACGATAGCCGACTACGCCATTTCTTTAAATGGTGTAGACGGCAATCCATTCATCCCCCCAATACTTCTGTAGGAGAAGTGGAGGATTTTCTCCTATACCTTTTTAACAGTGGGCTCACGACGGCCACGGTTACAAATTATCGATCAGCCGTTGCCGCGATCCATCAGGGATTTCCGGACGGTTCCTCCGTTTCCGGCAACCCTGCAATTAGCCAACTGATCAAGGGGATGTTTAATACTCGTCCCCCAGTACGCACATTAATCCCATCTTGGGACCTCTTCAGTGTATTATCTACACTGGCAAAGGCTCCCTTTGAACCAATGAATTGCTCAACTTTGTTACAACTCTCCATCAAAGTAGCTTTTCTATTGGCTGTCGCTACATCCCGACGACGTAGCGAACTACACTCGTTATCGATGCAGACAGGACACATCCGGTTGGGACCGGGGGGTGTCCGCCTGATCCCTACGGCCGGTTTTCTCGCAAAGAACCAGTCGGAGACCTTTATGCCCCCGGACATCTTTGTCCCAGACATCAAGTCTTTTTCGAACGAGACAAACGACAAACTTTGGTGCCCAGTTCGAGCACTTAAGTGGTATGTCAACCGTACGAAGTCACTTCGTACGGGACACGACAAATTGTTCATCACAACGACCCCGCCCCATGGGCTGGCGTCCCGCGATACAATCACTCGCTGGATCGTGACAGCTATCCGTTCCGTACCGGGCGGCTGGCCAGCGACCCAGGGACCCATTCGAGCGCATGAGGTCAAGGGAGTGTCCACCTCGTGGGCCTTTTTTAAGGGTGTCCCCCTAGGTGACATCGTCAAGGCAGCCTGCTAGAAGAACCCTAACACGTTCTCCGAATGCTACCTGAAGGACATCCTCCAGGCAGATGGCAAGGCTGGAAGAGAAGTGCTACTGGCGGCCAGTCGGGCCTCACGGAAGCACTAACGGGTGAGCATATAAATATACATGTATATATTTCTATGGGCATTAAGTTTAATGAGGTGTACCTATCATGTGTTCATCCCCATAATGGTTACACCCCCCTGACTTTTTGCGCACGAGCTCTTTGGGTTCCCTGACGAGGTGAAGCCTAGAGCATCTGGGGCGTAGGTTTTTTGGTTTGGGGTTGTTTGCCTATTGGACACGCCTCATGTCCTACACCCCTGTAGACATACGGTAATTCGCGTATACCCACCGCCTTACTCGGTGCGAGTCTATAAGTAGTATTTGCTCTACAGGTAAGTAGAGTGATGTAGACTCCCCCCCCCCCCCCCACAGTAGTGTGGTTGGGGTCTACGAGCGAATACTTACCTGTAGAGCACCCCTCCCTCCTTCCCCACTATACTCGATTCCTTGAGTGCTTACGTAAGTAACGCTTGAGAAAAAGAGGACGCTAACGTAGTGCGCATGTAACAGGGCGTCGTGGGTAGGACACGTGAGGGGGCTATTGTGTAAAACTCTTAGCAAATTGCCTGCCGGCATAGGGAACAATGCATATGTAGTATTCGCTCTACAGGTAAGTATTCGCTCGTAGACCCCAACCACACTACTGTGGGGGGGGGGGGGGGGGGAATTTACCTCACTCTGAGAATAAACAAAGGATGGCATCAAACAATATTGAGACAACTGATTACTTTATTGTGTGGATGTGGTATAGATCGTGGACCTGGAAACTGGCATCATGATTTTAAAGGAAGACATGATCCAAGAAAGAGCAGATGCCCGTAGAGAAAAGAAACATCTCAAGCAATGTGTGGTAAGTTTGATTTTGATAATCCAGTAGTAAAATTTCAGAATCCCTTTAACAATTGATGTACTAGTTCTCAGCATTCAATATTTGTTAGATTCTGATAGACATCATCATCAACATCATCGTCGTTCGGCTGCAATGCAGGCGACCAAGCGTTTCCTATCATCTCTGTTGTGAACCAAGATATTTTCAGTTGTAAGGCCTTGGATTGGAAGGATATTTTGCACATATGAGGTAGTCCACACACTGCCGACCTCTGCATTGCTTCCCATGAGGAGGATGGTATAGAGCATACATGTTTGATGGCTATTTCTGGATCCATGCGAAGAATATGGCCAAGAATTCTCACCTTCCTCTTTCTTATTTTGTACACTAGGGGACTTGCTTTCACCTCATAAAGTGAAGTTGGGTACTCAATCAATTCTCTTCACTCCTAGAATGATTCTGTAACAAGTAGTGGCAAAGTCATTGATACTGTTTGTGATTGATATGGCAACACTGGCAGACATGTTGCTTTTAAAGAAGGTAATCTTTGTTGAGGTGAATACCAGATCATTCTTCCACAACTTACTAAGTTTCCAAAAGGCAGCCAAGGCGAGACCTTTTCTGCATGGGAAGTCCTTTGCACTTGATGGTAGTATAGAACCCAGGTATCTGAAATCAGTGGCGTGTACAATCTTTTCTTTTTTTCACATAAAGACCATCATTAGGGCAGCAATTTACAGTCATGTATTCTGTCTTCTGTATATTGATGACTAACCTGGCATCTTCAGCAGCAATGGAGATGGCTGTCAGTTGTTCTTGAGCTTGTACTAATGATGATTCAAGAAGGCAGATATCATCGGCAAAGTCAAGATCATTAAATGATTTAGTTGGATGTGTATACTAGACCAGCATGGATGTGTACTTGCTTGGTTGACATACTGTGATGTTCAAGAAATAAACCTTTCTCTTAAGGACCATTTAGTATTTGCTATTTTAGTGGACATAGCTACTCAACTGCTCAGGACTGAAATCCAACTTCCCACCATAATGATAATAATAATAATAATAATAATAATAATAAAGTATTTGTAAAGCGCTTTTACAAAATAGAACAAAGCGCTTTACAACTACAAGAGAGGACTAGGAAGTAATGAATAAGAAACTTTTAAGACGTTTCTTGAAAATGGTGAGAGATGGGGCATCCCTGATGTTGATGGGAATAGTGTTCCATAATTTGGGGCCTGCTATTGAAAAAGATTTGTCTCCAAGGGATTTTGAACCTGTAGGAATAGAGAGAAGAAGTTTATCATTGGAAGATCTTAATCCCGGTCTGCCTGGTTGATACAAAGTGAGTAAGTCACACAAGTAAGGGGGAGCAATACCATGTAGGCACTTGTACACCATCAAAAGAACTTTGAATGCTATACGCTGCTGGATGGGTAACCAGTGAAGATTGGTGATGAGAGAAGTAGCATCCACAGTGCATTTGACAGAGAAGATGAGCCGAGCAGCACGGTTTTGAATTTTTTGTAGTCTATGTTTTTCACCTTGGGTTATACCAAATAGAAGAGAATTGCAGTAATCAAGCCGGGATGTTATAAATGTACGAACAACATGGTGTTGTCATCGATGAATTTACGAATTCGCCAGAGGTTATGTAGGTGAAAATTAATTGATCTACAGATGGAAGAAACATGGTTGGACATAGAAAATGACGAGTCAACTATTCAACCCCAATCCCTGTCCCCCTTCCTAATATACACATGGTGGACAGATGCATATTAAACAAAGTTGACAAATTTTGAATTGGATATGGGAGTCATGAGATCAGAGGTCAGGGTCAAAGCAGTTGGAAACTGATCAAGACCCTCTTTAGATGATTTGACATTTGGACAAATTGGATGTTGTGGTCACGTGATGCCAACTTTCAGAAATGGTTCTCCTCTACCCTGCATGTATATCTTTTGAAATATACACGGTTGACATTACATGTATACTCTTTAATGTGGGCCACATAACATGCAAAAGATGTTTAAATGTTTGGGTTGGCAGGCGGTTGCCCGTTGGTATGACAGCACATGGCAAATGGTCTATAGTCTTGCAACTTCAAGTAGTCCATATCAGAAGTGTGCTTGTCAAACGTGAAGATATACGGAATATAATGCAGGCAGAGGGCAAGAAAGGCTATTAATTTCATTCAGTTGATTCCATGGGAGCAAATTCTTGTTTGCTTCCTTTTGGGTACTAAGTGAGTTGGGGGTAGTGGATGAAATACCAGCCCCCTGCCTAGGGAATCAGTCATGTGATGTGTACATGTACATGCTCTGCACCCAATTTCACGAAGCGTTGCGATGCATCGCAACTTGACTTAGAACGTGTAACCAGTTAATGGACCTTGCGTTACTGATGGGTACTCGTCGTGGGATTTCTCCACATTCTTTCAAGGATTTTGGGGTTCTTCTTTAACTCCAAGACAAAGATTCCATTCTACTGTGGATATTTCATCCAATGTACGCATTGTCGTGATTTTTTTCTCAACATGACTCCGGTGACTTAACCAGCTGCTCGACTGTCCATGGCCCTGGGGGATCGACCCGGCGCGGACTGCCTCTCGAGCCTGTTTGCGGTTCCAACTCGCAATTTCAATTGGACTTGGACGGAGAATTGACTTCAGACGTTCGAGCCGATTCCATTGTGATTACTTTATTGGCTTTTTCGCAAATTTGCGGAAAATCCTTTCTTTCTTCTTCTTCTTTTTTTGGCTAAATCCCATAGACCTTGTACACGTCTTTTCTGCACGCCACTTTTGGCATTAATCTTTGTCGTACATCATTCAAAGTCAACATAGGCATAGTCCCTATAGCAAAGTTGTGTCCCAAAGAGAGCCGTCATCATGACATCACCATGGGTCACGTGATGTCATCACAAATGTGCATATTTTAAAGTCCTATATCTGGGTCATTCCATGTCAGACCAACGCACTTTTGTACCTCATGACTTCCGATTTTGATAAAAATTGATGTGCTTGTAGGTCCTGATGAGCAATGAATGCACACCAATTTTTAGCCCGATCCGACCTACCATGTGGTCAGGGCAGAAACCACAAAAAAAACGGACAGTTTAAGAGTAAAATACCACCCTTTTGGTAGAAATATGTCAAAACCATGTCAATTTCCATCGAATATATGCGAATTTGGTATTAAAATAATAAGAATTGAGTGCTCAAATCAAATCTTTTGTCAAAATTAAATTTTGTGAAAAGGAGGTCACAATTTATGTACTAATGTATCATTCCAAAAATCAACGAAATTAAAATGACTTGATAGAACATGTCTTCAATCCCGGTAAATACCGTTATTTCGTTTTACCGTTTTGGATTTCCTCAAAAACAAAAACAGTAAACGAACCATTGACCGTTTTGTCGTTTTACAGTTTTGTAAAACGGCAAATGGTATTAAGATAAATACAGTTATTCCGTTTTATCAGTTTCATAAATTTCATTACAGCATAACGATCAATGATTTTTGTTTTACAGTTTTACACAAATAACTTTGTAAAACAGCAAAACGGTCAGTATTCAATACAGACTGTTTACAGACTGTTCCTACCTCCATGGTCATAGTTAACAGTCCGTAGTGCATTTTGTGGCGGTACTTATGGTGGGCAAGGGAGTGGAAGGGGACCATGACGAAGAAGTGTTACCTCGGCATAATTTGTGTGTGTTGTGATTCGTGGCGTGACCCTGACCCCTATCTACTGCGATTCAGTTAGTGGGGCTTGAAAAGTTGCAAGCAAAAATGGCGCTGGAAAATTTCAAGGGGGACATTTCACAATGGATACAGGATGGTAAGACGCATGAAGATATGTTGAAGGAAATTGGAGTCCAGTGCGGCTTTTCAATAGCCAATATTCTCAAATTCTGTCGTGAGAACTAGAACGATGCATAAATGTAAGGTGGGCAATTTCACAGGCAGTGACCGTCCCAAGGACACATTAACATTCCAAGGTGCATTGCTATAATTGCCAACTTATACCTGAAAAAAAAAATGGTCGACAAGACTATTGACCATTTTGACATTGTCATGTTTTTGTAAAACAACACTCTAAAAATAAAGCAATAACCGTTTATCGCTTTTTTCAATTTACAAAAACAATAAAAAGGTCATTGTTTTTTGTGACTTAATACAGTTTGACCGTTTTACAAAACTGTAAAACGACAAAACGGTCAATGGTTCGTTTACTGTTTTTGTTTTTGAGGAAATCCAAAACGGTAAAACGAAATAACGGTATGTCCCGGGATTGTCTTCCTCTATCAGAATCTACTAAAAATCAATTGGGGTCTTCAAACCTTACAACTTTATGACTATTTTTGTACAGTTGGTGGGTTACAAATGAGTCAATTTATAGACTTTACATTAGAAATCCACCTACATATGTAACTTACTATTCTGTTTCTAAAGCTACTTAAATTAATCTTGGTTTGGGAATTTCACATGTTTGGGGCTGATGAGGTATAACCAGACTCATAATTCAAAGCACACTCTTGGGATAACTAATTATCAGTTGCAAGAAGGGGGGCACGAGGGGCTGGAACACACACACACAAAAGCAAAATCCTGGGTGCGCCACTGCTGATGATAATTTATATTATGAGTCTGGTTAGACCTCATCAGCCCCAAACATGAGAAATTCCCAAACCAAGATTAATTTAAGTAGCTTTAGAAACAGAATAGTAAGTTGTGTTGGTGGATTTCTAATGTAAAGTCTATAAATTGACTAATTTGTAACCTACCAACTGTACACAAATAGTATGATTGACTGGCTATGACTGTTTATGTAACTTGGTACAGCTATGCTTTGACTGTAGTTGATTGATAGGCCTGCTGTGTCTACCACTTGCCTGCGTTTGTCTGTTGACTGAATTTGACTTGTCAGAGTGCTCGCTTGAAATATGATCTGACTGTTGGTGAGTAGTCTGCGTAAAAAGCATGGCAGGGGAAGTGGATGGATGGACTATTATT